AGCCATAGTTGCTCATATTTATATGGAAGCATCCCCAGGTAGTGTAGATTCAAGTTTGTTCAAATCATGACCCCCGGGGGTAGGGCGGGGCTACAATGGCCGACCGAAGTTTTATATTGAAATATATAGGAAAATTCTTTAAAAATCTTCTTCTCAAGAACAGCAGAGCCATAATTGGCAATTGCTCATATTTATATGGAAGTATCCCCAGGTAGTGTAGATTCAAGCTTGTTCAAATCATGACTCCCGGGGGTAGGGCGGGGCCACAATGGCCAACCAAAGTTTTATATAGAAATATATAGGAAAATTCTTTAAAAATCTTCTCAAGAACAGCAGAGCCATAATTGCTCATATTTATATGGAAGCATCCCCAGGTAGTGTAGATTCAAATTTTTTCAAATCGTGACTCCTGGGGGTAGGGCGGGGCCACAATGGCCGACCAAAGTTTTACATAGAAATATATATGAAAATTCTTTAAAAATCTTCTTCTCAAGAACAGCAAAGCTATAATTGCTCATATTTATATGGAAGCATCCCCAGGTAGTGTAGATTCAAATTTGTTCAAATCGTGACCCCCGGGGGTAGGGCGGGGCCACAATGGCCGACCAAAGTTTTATATAGAAATATATAGGAAAATTCTTTAAAAATCTTCTTCTCAAGAACAGCAGAGCCATAATTGCTCATATTTATATGGAAGCATCCCCAGGTAGTGTAGATTCAAGTTTGTTCAAATCATGACTCCCGGGGGTAGGGCGGGGCCACAATGGCCGACCTAAGTTTTATATTGAAATATATAGGAAAATTCTTTAAAAATCTTCTTCTCAAGAACAACAGAGCCATAGTTGCTCATATTTATATGAAGCATCCCCAGGTAGTGTAGATTCAAGTTTGTTCAAATCATGACCCCCGGGGGTAGGGCGGGGCTACAATGGCCGACCAAAGTTTTATTTTGAAATATATAGGAAAATTCTTTAAAAATCTTCTCAAGAACAGCAGAGCCATAATTGGCAATTGCTCATATTTATATGGAAGTATCCCCAGGTAGTGTAGATTCAAGCTTGTTCAAATCATGACCCACGGGGGTAGGGCGGGGCCACAATGGCCGACCAAAGTTTTATATAAAAATATATAGGGAAATTCTTTAAAAATCTTCTTCTCAAGAACAGCAGAGCCATAATTGCTCATATTTATATGGAAGCATCCCCAGGTAGTGTAGATTCAAATTTGTTCAAATCATGACCCCCGGGGGTAGGGCGGGGCCACAATGGCCGACCAAAGTTTTATATAGAAATATATATGACAACTCTTTAAAAATTTTCTTCTCAAGAATAGCAAAGCCATAATTGCTCATATTTATATGGATGCATCCTCATGTAGTGTAGATTCAAATTTGTTCAAATCATGACCCCCAGGGGTAGGGCAGGGCCAAACTTATGGATTTAAACTTTTCAATAATAAACCAGTTACTACTTTTTCCTAGCCACAATGCTCAGGTGAGCGATGTGGCCCATGGGCCTCTTGTGACTTTTAACTTAAAACTGCATCATTCAATTGTAGAATAGTGAGATGTAGAGGGAAAATTACAAATCTGCAGTGTATGGCTATTTGCAAATGTAAAATCCTGAACAAAGAATAATATAGAAACAATAGAAAAATAAATCAGAGAAAATTCGAATTAAGTGTAGAAACGACTAGATTTTCTTTGTTAAACTTATAATGATAGCATCTTATTATTTTTTTTTTACACTTGTATTTATACACTCAGATATTCCTTTACTACTTCTCCATTTTGAACGACATTACAAGAAAATTAGATAAATTTGATGTCCACCATTTTGAATCGCCATTTTGACCTCTCTAACACCATTTTCATGAAGGCCAGCATATTTTTCTAATTCAGCATACTCGAAATAGGTTAAAAAACTATGCTGGACCAAATAATAATAATTTGCCGTTAGAAGTTATTTCTAGCCTTCTTTTTAAAAATCAGGACCAGACTATATGGGCCATAACTCAAGAACCCCTTGGCCAATCAGTGTCAAATTTGTCATAGGGGATCCTTGGCCCAAGAGCTACCATTTGTACTTAAACTAGGGTTTGGACCCTAAAACAATGGTAGATAATCAGGAAAACAAAACAAAAAGTACTGGTTGCTAAAAAATCTTCTTCTCCAGAACCACCAAGCAGATTTTCACCAAACTTGCATACAAGGATCAAGATATGTTGAAGATTAAAATTTGCACGGGGAATTACCCTGGGGCAAAGGGCGTGGTCTCAAGGTCACTTCAAAGTTGACCTTAATTTACACTTAATAAAAACATTTATATTTTGCTTACTATAAAGACTAGGATCATCAAATCTTGTAAGTTGATGCATCTTACGACTTCACATCATTTTAACTCAAAAGTAGGTCTCGTTGACCTACATTTTAAATTTAGCTGGCATTTGTTTTCAAATTGATTTGAAGGCATATGATCATTAAACTTTGTCAGTTGATGCATCTTGGGTCCTCAAACAATGTCAAATTAAAAGTAGGTCACTGTAACGTACTTTCTGAATTTAATGGCTAATCCTCTCTTAAACATTTAATCTGATTATTTCAGATGCCGAGAGGTTTAGAATAATCAAATCTTGTAAGTTGATGCATCTCGAGGCTTAAAACGTATTTATTAAAAAGTAGGTCACTGTGACCTACTTTTTGAATATTGCAGACATTTGTTTTCAAATTGTTTGAAAGGCATATTTTAAATACTTTCAGACCTATGATCATCAAACTTTGTCAGTTGATGCATCTTGGGACTTCGGAAAACGTCGACCAAAATGTAGGTCATTATATAGTTAAGTATCTTGGGCACTTATTGGCTTAGAATCATTCAACTTTGTCAGTTGATGCATCTTGGGTTTTCTGAGAATGTCGACCAAAAAGTAGGTCCCGGTGACCTATTGTTTGACATTTTATTGCTTTATTTAAGTATCTCCGATACTTATTGGCTTAGAATCATCAAACTTTTTCAGTTGATGCATCTTGGGTTTTCGAAGGATGCCGACCAAAAAGTAGGTAACTGTGACCTACTTTTGACTAGCTCAGATACTTATTCGCTTCGAATCATCAAACTTTGTCAGTTGATGTATCTTGTTCTTTCGAAAATCGACAACTAAAAAGTAGGTCGTGCTGACCTACTTTTGAGATTTTATGGCTATATTTAAGTATCTCGAGTACTTATTGGCTTAGAATGATCAAACTTTGTCATTTGATGCATCTTGGGTCTTTGAAGAATGTAGACAAAAAAGTAGGTCAGGGTGACCTACTTTTGAATATCTCAGGTATTTACTGGCTTAGAATCATCAAACTTTGTCAGTTGATGTAGCTTATTTTTTTGAAAATCGACAACTAAAAAGTAGGTCGTGCTGACCTACTTTCGAGTTTTTATGGCTTTATTTAAGTATCTTGAGTACTTTTTGGCTTAGAATGATCAAACTTTGTCAGTTGATGCATCTTGGGTCTTCGAAGAATGTAGACAAAAAAGTAGGTCAGGGTAACCTACTTTTGAATATCTCTGGTACTTATTGGCTTAGAATCATCAAACTTTGTCAATTGATGCATCTTTTTGAGTTTTCGGGAAATGTAAACCAAAAATAACATCACCTTGACCTACTTTTGACATTTCATGGCTATATTGTAGCATCTCAAGAACTTATTGATCTAGAATTGTTAAACATTATCAGTTTGGGCATCTTTAGTTTTCGGAGATTGTTGACCAAAAAGTAGGTCATGTTGACCTACTTTTGAATATCTCAGTTACTTATTGGCTTAGAATCATCAAACTTTGTCAGTTGATGCATCTTGGGTTTTTGGGAAATGATGACCAAAAAGTAGGTCACAGTGACCTACCTGTGACATTTTATGGCTATATTTAAGTATCTTGGGTACTATTTGATTAGAATCATCAAACTTTGTCAGTTGATGCATCTTGGGTTTTTGGAGAATGTAGACAAAAAGTAGGTCACGGTGACCTACTTTTGAATACTGCGGACATACTTTTTTTCCATTAGGTCATAATTCCGCGGAATCTCAATTTCTGTTTCATCCACATGTAGAAAATTACATGGATTTCTTATACTGTTACTATATGCCTTTCATCTATTCATCGATATTAAGTATGCTTGGACAAAATTCCACGGACAATTTGTGACCACATACATAGCGTAAATTAATCCACGTGGAAAAATGTACTTCTGCAGTATCTCAAGTACTTACTGGCTTAGAATCTTCAATCTTTGTTTATCAACGCATCTTAATTGAGTTCTCAGGAAACTTCAATCTTAAAGTAGGTCACCTTATGACCTAATTATGGTTTTTTAATAGCTTTTTAAAACATATCTTCAGTCCTAATTTGCTAAGAATCATCAAACTTTTCAGTTGATGCAACTTTGGTCTTAGGATACTTTTAGTTAGAGGCTTCAAATAGAAGTGATAGAATGTACAACTTTTCAGAAGAGCGATTCAAGGCCCTTGGGCCTCTTGTTAGTAATAGCTTCTTTAAAGTGAGAATTTTAAAATCACTAAAATTACATCTCGCTAAAAATAAAATACCAATCTGAAGGACATATTGCTAAATTTGCGCCTCACTAAAGTTTCCACTTTACGGTAAATTATGAGTAGTTACTGAATACTAGACTTAATTAGTAATTGTTACTGAATACTTTAATTTTTCCAATGATCCCTATCAACTTATTTCCATTACTTTTGGGCAAGAATTTAAAGCACCAATTTCTATCAGTTTATTTTATATTCCTCGGATCCTCTATGGATTGTTAAATTGTTTCATATTCAAGTGACCAATAAGGCCCTTGGGCCTCTTGTTTGAATTAATAAGTTGATGTTTACAGATTATTCTGACCAGTGTGTAAATTATATGTACTATATGGATTAAGCTAAAATAATTGTGCATCAGTCTTAAATGTTGCTACTTTTGTAATAATTTTTTGAAAATTTTCAGAAATCATTTCTAAGAAATGTGAGAAAGTAAAATGTGCAGACATTGCAATAAAGAGAAAGTGTCCAATGGATTCAACTCTTGTTCAGGTCGAGCATGTAAACAGTTGTTGTAAAGGTAGCTACCAATGTGTGTGCAACATGAACTTCTGCAAGAAGACACGTTGTGCTCCAGGATTTGAGAGTGTGCTTCATCACTCTGCTGAGGGTCATCCAGGGTTGTGCTGTGACCAATATGTTTGCCAACTATCAGGTCAGTAAATAATGAATTAAGTTCTGTTAGCTTTTTAGCTCACCTAAGCCAAAGGTTCAAGTGAGCTTTTCTGATCAAAATTTGTCTGTTGTCTATACAGTAAAACATTTAGTACGAACACGGATATAGTGAATTCACGGTTATAACGAAGTTTTTCTGGGTCCCCGGCAAAATTCCTAACAAATCTTTGTAAAATTTTACGGTTATAACGAACTCTGATATAACGAATTTACAGATATAGCGAACTGATTTTGAGTCCCGTTGAGGATAAATATAATGAATTTGACATCTTTTATAACGAACTTTCCAAGATTTCAAAATTTGAATAATTGAACTGACTTTTTTTTCTCTCAGCATTTGTATATAAAATTCAATTCATAATAAAATCTTAGTTATCGAAGGTATGTTTTGTGATATTTGCTTCCCTAACATATTTGATAGTAACACTTGAAGGAAAACATGCATGATTGCGAATTCGCTATATATGGTTATACAAATTCGTTATACGGATATAACGAATTACGGATATAGCGAATTAAATTCACAGGTCCCCAGGACTTCGCTATAACCGTGTTTTACTGTAGTTGTTGTTTTTGTTACCGTCATCATTGTCATAAACTTTTCACATTTTCATCTTCTCAAAAAACCACTGGGCCAATTTCAATCAAACTTGTCAAAAAGAATCCTTTGGTGAAGGGGATTCAAATCTGCTCCTTGGTATTAATCAAGCATTTATGATGAGCACAGCTGAGTGCTTTTTCCAAAATTTTGAAATGTGTGGCGCCAGGGTCTGGGGCTTTGTGGGGTGGGGCACTACTGATTATTGCTGATTATTACTAATGAGTTGAAATGCATTTTTAAGGGCACCTGAGTAAACTCAGGTGACCTATATCTAATCTGTTTTCATCCATCATGCGGTGTTCGTCGTTCTTTGTGACTTGTTTGTTGTATGTTAACATTTGAATATTTTAACTTCTTCTCTGCAACCATTCAACCAATTTCAACCAATTTTGGCATAAAGCATGTATGGGTGAAGGGGAACAAAAATTGTGAATTTGATGGTCCCTGCTTTGGGACCTGAGGGGTGGGGCCAAAACCACTAAAATTAATGCAATCTTTAAAAATCTTCTTCTTTACTCCTGGACATGAAGCAGTCAAACTGTTGGCATGAATGTAATGAGCATTGAGTCCTCTACCAAAGTATTGAAATTCATGGCCCAAGGGTCAGGGGTTCTAGTGCTAGGGTCCGGCTTAATAGATTATGTTAGTGAAAATGCATTATTTCTTTGAAAATCTTCTTCTCTGTTCCCAGGCATTTAATAAACAAACCAAGTACATAGTTATGTTGAATAATCTGCCTCTTCCAAAATTTGAATTTCATGGCCCCAGGGTCAGGGGTTCTAGTGCTAGGGTGGGACTATGTAGATTATATAGTGAAAATGCATAATTTCTTTGAAAATCTTCTTTTCTGCTCCTAGGTATTTAATAAACTAACCAAGTACATAGCTTCCAAAATTGTGAATTTTATGGCCCCAGGGTCAGGGGTTTTGGTGTTAGGGCTGGGCTATGTAGATTATATAGTGAAAATGGATAAATTCTTTAAAAATCTTCTTTTCTGTTCCTGGGTACTCAACAAACTAACCAAGTACATAATTATGATGAGCAAGAATATCTTCTAAAATTGTGAGTTTCATGGCCCCTGGGTCGAGGGTTCTGGTTTTAGGGTGGGGTTCTTTTGATATAGTGAAAATACATTAATTATTTGAAAACCTTTTTTTTCATCTCCTGGGTATTAAACAGTCTAACTGAGAAAAACAGTTATGAAGAAGGATGCCTCTTCCAAATTTATGAATTTCAGTCCCCAAGACCATAAACTGAGAATGGACTGAAGTCAAAATTTCAAATTAATATAACTTTTGAAATAATTTTGATAAAAATAAAATTTTTTATACCCCCGCTCTGAAGGAGAGGGGGGTATACTGTTTTACCCTTGTGTGTCTGTCTGTGTGTCCGTGTGTCTGTCCGTAACAAATTTTTCGTCGCAGTTTTCTCAGCAACTACTCATCGTAGAAGCTTGAAATTTTAACACAATTTTCTCTGAGGCATGCCATACAGTGGGGTACATTTTTGGTCAAATCTGATGTCAACTTCCTGTTTGTCTGTGCGTCTGTCCGTTTTATACAAAACAAGTTTTCGTCGCAGTTTTCTCAGCAACTACTCATCGCAGATGCTTGAAAATTTTACACAAACTTCCTTGAGGCATGTCATATGGTGGGATACATTTTTGTTCAAAACCGATGTCAACTTCCTGTTTGTCTGTGCGTCTGTTTCATACATAACAAGTTTTCGTCACAGTTTTCTCATTAACTTTTCATAGCAGATGCTTGAAATTTTAGTACACTCTTTTTTGAGGCATGCCATATGGTGGGATTAATTTTGATGTGAATCTGATGTCAACTTCATATTTTTCTGTTCATCTACCTGTAATTGAACTTGTTTATATTAAGGGTCCTCCACACCATGTGACTTGTGACTTATATAGAGAAAAAAATACTTTTACTTCCGGTTTCATTTTGATTTTGCATCGGCGAATTGCCTGGAAACCGCTTGTAAGAGTGTCTTTGAAAGAGAAAGTAGGACACGCATAACAATGAACACATGGCATGGTCACGGAGTGACCAAGAAAAAGATTTCCGTTTTTTTCTATGAAAGACAAATGACTAGGTTTATGTTACATATTAATTCGTAAACAACGAATGCCGGTATGACGGGAACTTTTAGGTTATTTATACTTTCAGGCTAATGCGCTAATCAACCCACTGACATTGTCAACAGAGTCTGTGTTGGAAGTTGATATTTTTGAACACTAATCTGTGCGTTTCAATAATACATCATCTCATTGTGTTTATAAATATTAATGAATAGTGTGCATCTCTAGTTTTCCTCTTTTATGTCTGTCTAGTTCAGTAGCCAGTAACTATTGGGGAGACTTGCCAAAGTTTTTGAGTCCCGGGCAACAGGAAAGATAACTCCAAAAAGGAACTTTGATACCAATGATTTTGAAAATATTTTTTCTACATCAGTGCATTTAATTTTAATTCAATTTTTTTATATGCCCTTCTTAAGATGGGACGTATTATGTTATAGCCCTCAGGTCCGTCCATTCTCCATCTGTCCATTCGTGTCCGGCTCATAACTTCAATACTATTAGGCCTAGGATTATCAAACTTTGTCAACTGATACTTCTTGGGTAGACGGTGTGTCGCGCACCAAAAGTAGGTCGCTCTGACCTTTAATAAAGATGCTATGGCCAAATATGGAAAAATCCTGTCCGGCTCATATCTAGAAAACTATTAGACCTAGAGCTATCAAACTTGGCAAAAGTATACATCTTAGGTAGAAGGTGTGTCGCGACCTATTTCAAGGTCACTGTGACCTTTAATTTTAGTGAAAATTTTTAAAAAACTAAGTTTTTTAAATTTTAAATTTCATAATCCTAAAAATGTAAAAAATAGAGTTGTATCCTTATTAAAAAGTATTAAATCAAGTAAAAACTTATTTTTTCATCATATACTTTACAGCAATCTTAAACAAATTTCAATGTTAATGAGAGGAATTCAGTTTGTCCCATGGGCATAATTATCAAGCACTGGTCAGGAAGAATTTTGATAGCAGAAAGTTGCATGTCAAATTAGAGAGAAATTAATGAGTTTAGTGTGAGGAGGTAACTAGTAGAGCATTGGTGTTATCCCTTGGGTATTGGGCAAATGGACAGCCAGCCTAGCTGTTAGATTAAAAATAGCTCTTGTTGGCTAGCTAAGTTTTAAAATGAATTTGATGAATAGTAATTAAAACTTATTTGATATTGCACAATAAACTAATAATCTGATATTATATAATATTAATTAATTAAAAACTAATTTTATGGGGTGGGGTTGAATCAGCATGCCTACTTGACCATATGAATTAAATATAAAACTAGCTGTCTGGCATTAAATCTAAAAAGAAATCATGGAGTATTTTATATGTTTTAAAAGTGTTTTAGGATAAAAAGTGCAGATCCATTAATATTTAGGGAGTAATGAGTAGACAAGCATCCAGTCAAAGATTAATTAATGAGTTCAATGTACGAAGGCTATCTGATCAAGGGCTGCCTTATCTGTATCCTTTGGGGATTAGACAGAAGAACTGCTGGTCAGTCTATAGAATATGTCATTTGATGGCCAGCCTTTCTTTTCAAAATTAATTTGGCATAGATTAAGTTGTTAAGACTAATTTGATATTGTTTATTATGATGGCCGGCATTTGACAAAGTCTAACACAAACAGTTGTATAGAAATCTGTCAGTTATATAATATTTGTTATAATTATGCCTACAGCACAGGGGATGGATAAAGAAATATTTTTTTTAAAAATGGAAAAATCATGGAAATCATAGAATCAAGGTTGAAGTGATTTTCTTGCAGTCTAAACTGTTAAAGATAATTGTGTAATATTTTGACGGGCGTATCATGCTGTGGCGTGGCACTTTATTTGCTTAAATCTAATTCATTGAATAATGATGTTTCTTCCATACAAAATAAGTCTTCCTTGATTTTTCTCTAGATGTATTTGAGAGAAAATGAGTTTTATTTATTTTTAGCTCTACTGGTCAGAGACCAGAAGAGCTTATGCAATAGAAAGGTGTCCGTCGTCCGTCCGTCTGTCTAGCTGTCTGTCTGTCCGTCTGTTTGTAAACAATTTTTCAAAACACTACTCCTCCCACAGTTTTGGTCTGATTTTAATGTAACTTGGCACATAAGTAGACTACACTAAGATACATAGAACAGTGCATTGGTTTTTAATTTCGATGAACGGTGTTGCCATGGTTACTAAAAATATAACTTTCAGTGAAATTCTTTTAAAACGGTACTCCTCCTACAGTTTTGGTCTGATTTCAGTATTACTTAGCACACAAGTAGACTACACTAAGATACATAAAATAGTGCATCAGTTTTTAA